CAGTCAAGGCTACACAGAGAAACCCTGTCTCGAAGAAAAAAATTATAGAAACCAAACTTCAGAACAGGGCAGAGTGTGGTGGAGCCTTAATCCCAGCCCTAAGCAGGCAGAGGTAGGTAGATCTGCATTGCGGGCCAGTCTGTCTACAGTGAGATGCTGTCTTAAAAGAAAATTAAAATGAAAAATGAAAAATGACAGGGGGTCGGACAGGTGGCTCAGTGGTTTGGAGCACTGGATGCTAAAGAGGACCTGGATCCAGTTTCCAGTACCCATATGTCTCAATCATCTGTTAATGCTAGTTTAATGGGATCTGATGCCCTCATTTGACCACTGTGGGTACCAGGCATGAACATGGCTCATATACAGATAAAATATTCATTGATTTTAAGTCTGGTAGGTGCAAGAGGTTAAGGATATGTCACTTAGCAGGAACCTTACTTATGAATTGACAAACCACATACAGCAGAGGCTGGATATGATAAATCCATGTCTTCTAAGCTAACCGGTATGTTTATAAGGAGGCCATAAACTATGCATGCATGCAGATTCCCTTTACACCCGATGTGGGTTTTTGTTTTTTTTTTTTTTTGGTGGGGGGGTTCTGAGACAGGGTTTTTTTGTGTAATTTTGGTGTCTGCCCTGGATCTCGCTCTGTAGACCAGGCTGGCCTTGAACTCAGAGATTTGCCTGGCTCTGCCTCCCAAGTGCTGGGCGTGTGCCACCACCACCCGGCTCTGGTGTGGTTTTTATGTATAAGTCTTAAGCTGCTGATACCGACAATGGTGGTAATACCCTGGGGCAAACAGTGGCTGTAATGTTCTACACTACTAAAAACCCACCAGCCTTCCTTATCTGTTTTTGATAGCTGTTTCAGTCCCCCAGTGGACCAGAAGGGAGCAGAGAAGTGGACTTGAAGCTGGATCCCCTACCATCAATCTGATGGGTGTAAAAGTGGAAGAGATGTGTGAGGCCAAAGAATGGAGTCCAAGATTGCTGACTCCGAGAGCCGCCATATTATCTACCTTGGGGAAAAAAAAAATGACACACTGTCTCAGCTCCAGACAACCTTAAGTATCTCCATTTCAGAGACTGTCAGTCCAAGTAAGGCAACTCTAGAGACTAGAGGTGACCAGGCTGACCTCATTGAAGAAGTTATGACTGTGTGAGGTTTAGGAAGAAGTGGCAAGGAAAAAAAAAAAGAGAAAAGTCTTTGAGGCTTGTTAGCTGAGTAATTAAATGCATATTAGGGTAAAAGCTCTTACTGGGCATTGTGGCACACACCTTTCCGCCCAGCGCCTTCAAGGTGAATCTGTGAGTTCCAGGCCAGCCAGGGCTATATAGTGACTGTCTCAAATAAATAAAAATTAAGAGAAAAAATTCATACATGTGAATAAGTTAAACTTTTTTTTAAAAATGAGAACACAAGACAGTCAAGTAAAAAGTCTTCAAAACTCATAAGTAAAGAAAACAGCTATCTCCTCTTTTTTTTTTTTTCCCCAGACAGGGTTTCTCTGTGTAGCTTTGCGCCTTTCCTGGAACTCACTTGGTAGCCCAGGCTGGCCTCGAACTCACAGAGATCCACCTGGCTCTACCTCCTGAGTGCTGGTATTAAAGGCATGCACCACCACTGCCCAGCTGCTCTTAATGCTCTTTTAAAAGGTAGAAAAGGAGCCAGGTGTGAAGAAAGGTAGAGGCCTTTAAACTCAGGAAGCAGAGGCAGCTGGATCTGCGTTTGAGGACTACACTTAAACAATGATCAGACTTAAGGCTGACTGAAGAGCAATCAGACGTCTTTGCCCTCACGTGCAAAAGCAAGGCCAGCAGAGCCTGGGAGACAGAGCACCAGGAGCTCGCCTTCCTTCTCCGTCCTGAGAGGAGCATCATGGAGGTATGTACCTCCTCAACTAGGCTGACCTGACCAGCAAGCTGCCAAATTTCCCCCAAATACCTCAGCATGAAGACCATCAACTATCCGGCAGTAAATGGTGACTTCAGAGTCAAGTGCATGGCCTTTGAGTGAAGCCAGGCAGCCTAAAGCCACTAATACAGGTGGCTACCCCTACTGCCCATCTGAAAAAGAGAAGGGCCACTAGTCCATCCACAGAGGCCAGGTGTAAAAAAAAAAAACTCTCATTCCAGAAGTAAAGGGCAGAGGATGTTATAAAATGGGCTGGTAATTATGCTGGCTTTGTCTCTGCCAGCTTTCTCCATAGCCTCACCTGGAAGAAGCCGGATCCTACACACAAACCCTCAGGTTGCCCCCCTCCCAAACTGTATTCCAAATACGGGAATAGTACATTAGAGGAGACCGGGATGTATGTAGCTCAGGAGTATTGGGCTTGCCTAGCCTTCAAATCGGCATGAAGTTCGAACCTAACTAAGGGTTGTGTTGCACCTACAACCCCAGCTCCTGAGACAGAGGAATAACTAGTAACTTAATAAAGCCCTATCTCAAATCTAAGGGCTGGTGAGAAGGCTCAAAGTATAAAGGCACTTGACACTTACACTGAGGACCTGAGTTCCACATGCACAATGATAGGACCATACTCACATACAAAAAAAGACTTTAAATTTTAATTTAAAACCGGTGTTGAGAGACGTTCCTTGGTGCGATACCTGCCTAGCCTTTTCGAAGGCCTAGGTTTCAATCCCCAGTGGTGGGGCCAAGCCCCACCCCCACTCCCACCCCCCGCGCGCGCCTGAGGTAACAAAATACAGTCTGGTACACATCAACGCTTCTGTATCAGACACAGGTGTGAGGAAAGAATCCAAAGAAAGGCTGGCTTTTATTAACCGGCTTCAGAAGAATAAGCAGCCTTTCAGATGCTTAAAGGCTTTCCAACATTGTCCGCCACCCACCTGTTCACACTTGCAGATGCTTCTGAAATGCAGATTCGTGAACAATTAGCCCACAAGAAGCAATAGCCACTTGGACACAGATGACAATAGAAATAGGGAGGGACCTCACGGGTAACACATTTCATGAGCGAGTTGCTAATTACCCTCAACTGCATCCTAGAAGGGTATGCGCCCCGCAGCTCCTCACAGTTGCTTCGCCTTCTCATGCTCATTTATTCCTTTGGAACCGGGAGCCAAGGAAGAGGGGAGAAGGGAGGAATTTGCCATACTAGGGAGACGGGGCAATCTAGATCCCCAACTTTACCGCGCCCTTCGAGGGACAGTCTCAAGAGGCCATCTGCAGAAAGGCTGAACTCAAAATGCAATTTATCAGAACGAGTCTCCGGGTCTCCAGGCGGCCGAGCCGGGCTGGAGGAGGAGGGGAGTTGGCGGGGACAGTTTGCCGCGGACGCCGGCAGCGACCACAGGCCTTTCACCACCGCCATGCAGCGCTCGGCTCCAGGCCGGAGCGCGCGCGAGGGGCCGTGGGGGAGCGCGTCGCAGAGTCCCCGCGCGCCGGCCGGCCGCCGCGACTCCCACAGGTGGGAGGCGAGCGGTCCCCAGCTCCTCGCCGGGGAAGGGGACGCGCGGCTCGGCAGGACCGCAACAGGGGACCCAGGGACTCTGCATTACGGGAGGCGCGGCGTGAGAGGCCAGTTGGGGTTCCCGCCGAGCGGCTCGCCTCGGTTCCCTGGGCCCGGAGCGCAGGGTTCCCCCCACCCCCACCCCTTACGCGCGAGCGACCGGTGCAGTCGGAGACGCTGCCCGGCAGCCTCGGCCTCCTCCGGGCGCGGTTAAGCCGCGCGGGCGGGCGGCTGGTTGCATGCGCCGCGGCACGTACGAGCCCGCACGGACACACGCGGGCGGGGGCAGGGCGCCGGAGCCCAGGGGACCCGTGCCCGCGACCGCCCTGCTCCCGGCCCTACCACCCCACCGGGCTCGTCTCCACCCTCACTCCCCTGCTCCCTCTTCCCCCCCGGGCCCCTCACCCGTGCTGGCCTTGAGGTTCTCCCGCAAGAAGTGGCCGCTGGAGAGATGCTGGAGGCCAAAGTTCTGGGCGATCCTCTGGCATACGGTGCCCTTACCCGAGCCGGGCGGCCCGAGGATGACCGCGCGCAGGAGTTTGGAAGCCATGACTTTGGCGGGGAGGGGGTGGCCTGGACCGCAGCCCGCGCACTTTGCCCGACAGCCCCTGCCGCGGCACCCTCCGCAAGCGGGGATTCGCCTGCCACCCCTATAGGGGGAAGGAGAGGCTTTTTAAGACGGCCCCGCCCCTCAGCCCCGCCCTCCGCCACCTCCTCGCCCCGGGCCACGCCGGTGCAGCGCTGCGGGAGCCTCCGCCGGGCGAGCTCGGCCCGCTGGGGTCAGAGGTCAGTTAGACCCACCGGGGTCCTTCCCTGCACCCCAGGCCGGGCGCGCGATCCCGGGGATCCCCTGCCGGTCCCCGCACGTGGGCTGAGCGGGAGCCGTTCGCCGGCCGCTTCTCGGTGATTGTCGCATCCCCAGAGTGGCCGCCGACTGGAACTAGGGGGGGGCCCACCTCCTCCCCTTGCAGCCGAAGAGAGACACACCTCGGCGGAAAGGAGCGCGGCCAGACTTAGCCAGGATCTCGCTGGGCGGCGCCGCCTCTGCCCGGCCGGCCGCGCGGGACTCGCTTCTTACGTAAGCCGGGAGCCGGCTCCCCGCTAGAGCCGCCGCGCCCCCTCCTCTCCCCTCCCCTCCCGGCGCGTCCGGGGCCAAGCTGAGGCTGCGGGGGCGAACGGAGATGGAGACGCCCTGAGAGAAAGGAACCGCCTGGGGACCCAGTCTATTGTCAAGGGGACGGAAAAACACAACTTGTTGAGCGCCTACTCGGCGTCCAATTCTAGGCTGTGTGATATTATTATGCAACCTTTGCAGGTACGGATGGAGAAAGGCTTGGTATAGGAACCATTCATTTATATACTTAGCAGTGTTACTTGTTTTCATCCATATGGGGGGATCGAACCCCCTGAGACTATCCCTTAAGCCAGGGTATCCACAGCAGGTCCTGGCAAGAGAATAAAAAGTTGTGGGCAGGCCTGAACTACATATTGATACCCGCTCTAAAAAAAAAAAAAAAAAAGGAAACACTAAAGCTGGGTGGTGGCGGCGGCGCACACCTTCAATCCCAGCAGAGGCAGGTAGGGATCTCAGAGCTCCAGGCCAGCAAGGTCTACTGAGCGAGTTCCAGGACAGTTAGGGCTACACAAAGAAACCTGTCTCGAAAAACCGAAAAGAAAGAAACACTTTATTGTGTGCCCAACGCTGTTTTGTGTGCTTGATATACAGCAACGACAAGTGATCGAATCCTGCCCCCATAGTCGCAGACATAGTTTTGAACCCTTGACTGGCTCCAAAGCCCAGCGCCCTGGAAATGGGGAATAAAAGGTTGCCTTTCGCTTGTACTCCGACCTATAGCCAGATGATTCCAGGACGTCTTGTGCCCAGGATGTGTTATTCCCAACTCTCTGCTCACCAACTCAAATGGGGCTTTTCTTTTCCTTGCCCCTCCCATATACGAAGCCATACTGCAACATGACTCTCTCTGCCTTTGTTTTGTTTTGAATCAGGGGTTCGCTTTGTAGCCTAGGCTGGTCTTGAACTCACGATGCTCTTGCCACAGCTTTCTTAATATCAGGATTACAGGAATGGGTCACCAAGCCCTTCTGCCTCCTCTCTCAATTCTGTTTCCAAGTTCCATGAAAGCTCTGTTTCCCACCCCAACTACTGGGATAATCACCTCTGCAGTCACTAGAATCCCATTTCCATTACTTGCCCACTTCGGTGTGTCCCACCTCTCTTCCTAAGGTTCCGGCCTGCCTTGCAAGACTCCTTTGCAGACCTCTCACCAGTGCTACCCATAACTGAGAAGAGATGGTAAGGAGCCGTAGAGTGGGGACACTGTAGGAAAGAACCTCCTCTGGATTCCTGACTGTTGGGTGTTGGAGGCAGGAGACAGAGCCTGGGACGGTGTCTTGCCAACCCAGCTCCCCTCATTGCCATTCCACACCCAGCCTTGACAAGACACCACACTCAGGCCACCAACCGCCGTGCCAACGTTTGTTCTATAGACTCGTTTCCTAAAGTATCCCGAGGTGCTGTAGACTTTCTTCAGAGCTCCTTAGGTGAGTCTTTGCTGAAGAACAAGGGAAACACAAAGCCGGGGTGGTGAGGGGGGCTTAAGTCTCTCAGGTTCCTACTCTGTAATAAACAGCTGATGGTTCTTTACGGTGATTATGAGACAAGAGCACACACCAGATCCACCTGGAGAGCTTGTTAAAGCACGTGGCTGAGGGCCAGGGAAGTGGTTCACTTACACAGTGCTTGCCACAGAAGCATGAGGACCTGAGTTCAGTTCCCAGCACCCTCGTGTAAAAGGTTGGGTAGAGTGCTGGGAGGTGGTGACAGGAGATGCCCTGGGACTTACTGGCCAGCCAGTCCAGTTAGATTGGTGAGTTTCCGGGTCCAATGAGAGACCCCATCTCAGAATATAAGGGGAGCCACCTTCCTTTGGTCCTCCATTCAACAGGAGGACTCTGATAGTTCACCACGGTGATAGTGGTGTCATTGGTGGGAAATTTAGCTGCTTGTCTTCAGGGAACCTTGAAAATGCAGTGGACAAACAGAAGTGCATTTTGGAGAAAACAACCTGAAGCTGTTCATCTTGGCATGATTTCGAAGATACACAAATGCTGTGGGATGTTCTGTATGGCAAATGTGTTGCTAATTGGTCAATAAATAAAACACTGATTGGCCATTGGCAAGGCAGGAAGTGTAGGCGGGACAAGGAGGAGAATAAAGCTGGGAAGTAGAAAGCTGAGTCCGAGAGACACTGCCAGCCACCACGATGAAAAACAGCATGTGAAGATGCCGGTAAGCCACGAGCCACGTGGCAAGGTATAGATTTATAGAAATGGATTAATTTAAGCTGTAAGAACAGTTAGCAAGAAGCCTGCCACAGCCACACAGTTTGTAACCAATATAAGTCTCTGTGTTTACTTGGTCGGGTCTGAGCAACTGTGGGACTGGCAGGTGAGAGAGATTTATCCTGACTGTGGGCCAGGCAGGAAAACTTTAGCTACACACAAACCTGACTTTATCTCTTTAAAAAGCCCAGTAGGGCTCGGCATGGTGGCTCACAAATTTAATCCTAGCGCTGGGAGGAAGGAGCAATTGGGTCTCTTGAGTTCAAGACCAGCCTGGTCTAGAGTGCCTTCCAGGACAGCCAGGGCTACATAGACATAGTGAGAGCTCTCTCTCTCACACACAGCCCGGTATAGGGGTGGAGAGATGGCTCAGCAGCAGTTAAGAGTACCGGCTGCTCTTGCAGAGGACCCAGGTTCCATTCCCTACACCCACATGACAGCTCACAACCATCTGTAACTCCAGTTCCAAGAGGGCTGGCCTCCTCAGGTACCAGGAATGCATGTCGTACACAGACATATATGGAGGCAAAATACCCATCCACTTAAAATAAAACTGTAAAACCCATAGGAAATATGCTTTTTGTTGTTCTTTTGAGACAGCGTCTCTGTGTAGCCCTGGATAGCCTGGACTCCATATGTAGACCAAGCTGGTGTGGAACTCGCAGAGATCCACCTGCCTGTGCTTCCAAGTGCTAGGATAAATATTGGATTTGTACTTATGTTGTTAAAATTGGAAGTGTGGGGGCAGTGGTGGCACACGCCTTTAATTCCAGCACTTGGGAGGCAGAGGCAGGTCAATCTCTTGAGTTTGAGGCCAGCCTGGTCTACAAAGTGAGCTCTAGGTCAGCCAGGACTGTTACACAGGACTGTCTCAAGAAACGAGAGAGGGAGGGAGGGAGGGAGGGAGGAAGGAAGGAAGGAAGGAAGGAAGGAAGGATGGATGAGGCTGAGGTGATGGCTTAGTGGTTATGAGCACTGGTTGGTCTTCCAGAGGACTCAGGTTTGATTACCAGCACCCACATGGCGCTCACAACCATTTGTAGCTCTAGTTCCAGGAGATCTATCCAATACCCTCCTCTGACCTCTATGGACACACAGACACACACACAGAGTAAATAAATAAACAATTTTTTTAAAAACTTTGTAAGAGTGGATGGGCATAGTGGTACACACCTTTAATCCTGACACCAGAGAGGCAGAGGCAGGCAGATCTCAGAGTTCAAGGACAGCCAGGGCTACATAGTGAGACTCTTGTCTCCAAAACAAGGGAGGGAGGGTGGCAGGTAAAATTCTTTAAAGTTTTTTTTTTTAATATGTGTGTGAATGTATGTATGTGTAACATATGTGTGCAGGTGCCCTCAGATGCCAGAAAAGAGTATTGGATTCCCCAGGAATTAGAATTCAAGGCAATTGCGAGCCATCCAACGTATGTCCTGGGAACCAAATCCAGGTCCTCTGTAAGAGTAGCAAGTGCTTTTAACTGCTGAACCATCTCAATAGTCCCAGAAGAAGCAAGTACATTGTTAATGGATAGTAAATATGTTGCTTAAACTGTTAAAAATAATAAGTCAGAGTGTATTTCTTAAAGATAGCCAGCTTCAACTTCAGGTTTTCACATGCATGTACACACACACTCATGAATACACAAGTGTAGTGATTATACCATGCCAGACCGATTCATTCCACTATTTGCTGAGGAGTCTCAGGACTCTTCTGATTTGTTTTTGCACAAAGACCACATATTTCAAAATGGTCATCTTGTACCACTGAAACTTTGCCATTTTAAACTTATTTTCTTATTTTGTGTGCCTGTGTTTTTGTAGGGGATATCTGTCCATGCATGCCATGCACCTGTGTTAAGACAGGAACAGCCTGCAGGAGTCAACCCTTTCCTGCCCAGGGACAGAATTGTCAGCTTCTGTAGCAAACACCTTAACCATAATGGTCTGAACCAGCTTTCTTTTTTTTACTTTTTGAGACAGGGTCTCACTATGTAGCACAGGCTAACTTAGATTCTCACTATGTAGACCAGGCTGACCTCAAACTCACAGATATCCTCCTGCCTCAGTCTCAAAAGTGCTGGGATCAAAGGTGTACACCACCATACCCAGCTACCATATCTTCTTCGTGCTAAATATTCTGAGTCGCTGTCCTTATATGATGGAGTACCCTGCCGGAAAGGGGCACAGCCATTCTTTTGCTATGACAACTCCCAGAAGGTGCTCCATATTATTTATAGAGTTCTCCCTTAATGGTGTAGTAACAGTGCCCACCTTACATCCTGTATTACTATGTTTTGCCATAGACCTCACTGTGAACTCTCGCAGTCCCCAAGGCTCTCCCAATGACCCAAAGTGACACCCATGACATCTGTTTTGGTTTGGGATTCCTTGATGTTTTTGAAAGTCTCAGCCTGACATTGCCTACTAGATCCCCATGCCTTTTTCTGGGGGCTAGGATTACAGGCTTGGGCCACCACACCTAACTGACGGTTCTGTGCTTTGTAAGGCAATGGCAGGAAGACAATAGGAAGATGATCACTAACATCAGGTCATGTGGGGTCACTTCATCTGTGTAAGGGTTAAACCTGAGGGCTCTTGATTATCACCCTGATAGGAATTGGTTTGTCTGGAAGATTGATTGGCCTGTATTGTTCTAATCCTGATTTCTCAGAAGGTCAGATGAACAGGTGAGCTTCAGCCTGGAGACATGGAATTTTGCACAGGTAACTCTAGTTTGATTCTTTGCTTAATCCATATGGGCCTGAGGCAGGGGCATCAGTTCGAGATATGGCCTGCCCTAATTTTTGACTTATTAAAGGCATTTTTTTAAGATGTATTTAATTTTATGTGTATGAATGTTTTGCCTCCCTGTATGTCTGTCCACCATTCTTGTGCCTGGTGCCCACTGAGGCCAGAAGAGGGTGTCAGATCCCCTAGAACTTGAGTTAGAATGATTATGAGCCATTGTGTGGATGCTGAGACTCAAACCCAGGTCCTAGCAGCTATGCCATCTCCCCAGTCCCTCGTTTACTTTCTTGTGTTATTACTGGGTTTGCCGGAAGAGCAACTTTGTTGGGTTTTTGTTTTGTTTTGTTTTGTTTTTTTTGCTGGGGGTGTCGAGACAGGGTTTCCCTGTGCAGCTTTTGGAGCTTGTCCTGGATCTCACTCTGTACACCAGGCTGGCCTGGAACTCACAGAGATCCACCTGCCTCTGCCTCCCCAGTGCTGGGATTAAAGGCTTGCGCCACCACCGCCCAGTGCAACTTTGTTTTAAATGATCCTGGTGTAGCCATTTGATTTTGAGGCTGTGAGTCCTTGGGGACACACCCTCATTCTTCGTTCTCTAAAATCGTAGCTGAGCTTTGCTGATTGAGAAGATAAAGAGCAGGTTAATAGGTCAAGGACATCAGAGACGGAACATCTGGAACCCAGGTTCCGATCTTTACATTAAAACTACCTTTCTGACTGGGTGGCCAAGTTCGAGGCCAAGCCTGGTCTACAGAGCGAGATCCAGGACAGGCACCAAAACTACACAGAGAAACTCTGTCTGGAAAAGGAAAAGAAAAAAAAAAACTACCTTTCTGAAGAAAACCCTCATTTGCCTGTCTTGTCAGGAACCATATTTAGAAACCTAAAATTGTCTTTCTCGCTCAAGAAGACACCTGTCCCCATGGGCTCCCTTCACTGTGGTGTCAACTTTCTCCCCTCTAATCTGAACAGCTACATCCATTTTTTTCCTCCAAGACCTTGAGCAGTGTCTGAAGCCACAGGCTCTGGGTCCTCTTGATGAGATCGGAGTCTTGGCTTGTGTTTGGTTAATCCCACCAATGAAGAATAAGACCACTACCACAGGTTAAAGCCAAATTTGAAGTAAGCTTTAATTAAATGCTGGCCAGGTGGATGGGCTCTGGCTAGGTCCATACCCAGGTTCCTGGGAAATGACCCGGCATCAAGTATGGCAAGGGCTTAAGAAGGAAAACCCATAATTCATTGCCTTTCCCATGAGGTACAATAAGGGGCAAGCATATATCCTGACGTTATTTCCTGCTCACATACCTCCTGCCCACATGTGATCAAGCACATCTGGTACAGGTGGGTCAAACAAATTGTTTAGTGGAGTGAAAACTTAGGACTTGTTATCTCCCATAAACAGTAGCCTCCAGCATTTCAGGAACTATCTGTCCTTGGGCAAAGGGCTTGCAGATCAGAGGCATTTATGTTTCACAGATCTCTAAGGCATAGTAATTAAAACTTAAAATGTAACTTTGGCTCTCACAGTTTCTTGATGCCCAGAAGTCACCCAGAACAACTTTAAGTTTAGATTATATAAAATTTCAGCAGAAAAAAATATTAGCCCGTCTATGGCGCATATCATATATATATATATATATATATATATATATATATATATATATATCTTAAATTTTTCTCTAAGATTTACTTTTAGCAGCTGATCAGTCTGTGAGGTACCTCCAATGCAATCATGAAGACTTGATTCAGTCCCCAGCACTGATGTAAATGTATTTATGGGACGTGGGATCCTCAGCATTGGCTAATATAAGTCAAAACGTTGATCATCTCGGAAAGGCATTGATGGCGTTCTGCGTCCTTGTCTGGTCCCCGAAGAAAGTCCTTCTCCCAAGGTCAGGCATTCAGACAAAAGCCACCATTCCCTCAGAGGCTTGAAGAAAGTTCCTGCTTGCTAAAAGGGAAACATTCTCCTTATCTCTGGTGAGAGGAACATGTGCCTTTCCCTTAACATATGACTGTGGTGCCTATTAACTTGTCCAAGGCAATGCTAGCCTCTAGGCTCCCTCAGTCCCTCTCTGGTTCCCATTTAACTCTGGAAATCTTCCCCCTTGCTTGCCTTCCGGGAAGACAGCCTCGGCGGTTTGGCATAAGCCTTTCCCTTTTCACCCGTGGAGCAGTTATTTGGGTTCCTTTACTGCACCCATTTTATTTAGTTCTGAAGTAGCAACTGTTAGTTTTTCGGCTGCGTTGTGTTCTTACCCTGCAAGGAAATGCCACGAAACACGACAGAATCCGCTAACAAGAGTTTTATTAAAGGGACAGAGAGTGAACAGGCCTGCGGGAAACACATGTGTGGAGAAGAAGGAGGAAGAAGAAGAAGGAACCGGGAACATGGCGCCGGATTTTAAAGGCTGGGCGTGGACAGATCAGCGTCACTACTACACGCAAGCGCGTAGATCACATGGCCACGTTGCGCGCCTACGTAGCCAATGGAACGTCACGGATCTTGGTCACGCAAGATGCCCTGACCCGGAAATGGCTATCCTGACCTGGAACTGGCTAGGTGGAAGTGTCTGTTGGGCATATGCGAACACGCCCGACCGTGGGGGCGTGTTGTAAACCTTTCATCCCTGACTCTTCCTTTTTTAAAAAAGAAAAAAATTGTGGTTGCCTGGGTATGGGGGCGACGTTTCTCTCAAAGACTGCTTCCAGCTGAATAGTGGGCGTTGGTTGGCTCTTGGGGGGCAGGGGGATGAGAGGGTATCTTGTGAAGTCCTGGGATGATGGTGGGCAGGTCCTGGAATGAAGTTCTGCCGTCCCCTCGTTCTGCGGCTGTCCATCTGTGCTGTGGCTGGGAACCCTCCGTGTTGTAGCTAGGAACCTTCTGTTTGACAAGATACTGTTGACATAGAAAAGGCTTAGAGAGAAAGAATCATTATTATTTTATTTTGGAGTTGGCATTTGTCTGAGGTAGATCTGGCCTGTCTAGATAGAGACATGTGATATTTACCTGAGGTAGATCTGGCCTTAGTACTCTGCTTAATTTCTATCTGAGACAAGCCTTATTAGAGGTAGTTTATTTAAGGCACCGGTTTCCCTTATTAGGTTAGCATTTAGGAAACACAGGTTATCAGTTACTGAGTATCGAACAATGATAGATTATTGTATTACATTATTCCTTACCGCCTGGATATTTTTGATGGTCCCTTTTGCCTCCGGCTCTGTGTGTCTACCTGAGAGACTGTGTCTACCTGAGAGACTGGTAGGGGAAAGGAATTGTTAGAGTCAGAAGAGTGAGTGGCTAGGAGGAGAAGTAAAGGAGCTGCTGGCATGTCTGGGATGAGGCGAATGTGTGGAGCGAAAGAAATGGACGCTCCTACCTTAGCTAGAAGATCCCTCCCCATTAAAGGTACAGGGCAGCTTGGCACCACTAAGAATGTGTGTGTGAGAGGGATGCCTCTGAAAATGCAACTGAGTGGTGGTGTCTGATGAGGTAGATAAGGCTGTCCCCTAACCCTGACAATAGGGAGACGAGCAGGAGAGGTGGACCCCCAAAACTCTCTCAGGACAGAGTAGGTAGCTCCGGTGTCCAAAAGGAACGAGATGGGGCTGCCCATTGACCTTTATAATTACCCTAGGTTCCCTGTGTGAGATGGGAGTGGCCGGGGCAGAAACCAGGCAGCAGCAGTCCTCGCTGTAAGCCAAGCCTACAAAGTCAGCTGGAGGGTGGTCTTCATCTGGCGTTCCTATGTCGCTTGGGACATTAGGACAGTCAGCTGACCAGTGACCCTTTTGGCAACACTTTGGACAAGGCTTTGTCGGTGCCCTTCATGGGCCGGTGGTGCAAGCCTGGGCCCAATGGCCTTCTCTCCCACACTTGAAGCAGGGACCAGATGGCTTTCGGGGAGCCGGTCGGACAGTGCTTGCCAGCATCTGGCAGCTCCTTTTATGGGCTTTTTCATCTCTACCATGGAACACCTTAAACGCTATCACCAGCACATCTGCCTGTGGAGTTAGAGGGCCGTTCTCCAAACGTTTAAGTTTATCCCTAATGTTAGGGAAGCTCTGTGAGACAAACTGGGTTATTAGCAGCTGCCTGCCCTCAGGGCTCTCCAGGTCTAAGCTAGTGAACTGAAGTAGAGCTTTGGTGAGCCGCTCTAAGAAATGAGACGGATTTTTGTCCTCATCTTCATTAACCATTTTTAGTTTTTCATAGTTTACTGGTTTTAGGGCAGCCTTACGGAGACCTGTCAGGAGACAGATAATAAACCTATCTCTGGCTAGACAGCCACCCTGGGTGTTATAATCCCAGTGTGGCTCTCGGTCAGGAACCGCCTCAGCTCCTGGAGGGTGTGAAAGGTTAGTTTGATGAATTTCGTCTGCGTGAATCCTAGCCTGCTCCCAAACCCGCCTGCGCTCCTCAGGAAGTAAGTTATTAGAAAGTATCATGAATATATCATGAAAGGTAAGACTATAAGATTGAGTTATATATTGAAACTGTTTAATAAAGGCAGCAGAATTAAAAGTATAAGAACCCAGCTTACTTTCTATCTGAGAGAGTTATGCTAGAGAGAATGGAACATGAACTTTAATCAGTCCATCCACACCAGCCACCTCTCGCAAAGGGAGAACAGTGGAAGGTTTTGGATGGCTGGAATCAGGCAATTTAGCAGCCCGAGAGCGGGTGGTAGGAGGAGTGAAGTTTGGAGCTAGGGCAGGGCCTTTGGAACCGGCCGCTGCCGAGGAAGGAGCAGCTTTAGAAGAAGAAGAATCTGGAAGGGGAGCGGAAGGAACGGTTTTCTAGGAGTTGGAGCTGGAGGTCGAATAGGTGGAGGTTCGTTAGCAGGATCTAGAGTCAGAGATTCCGGAGTCAGAGAATCCTCCGGTTCAGGCATAGCCAGGAGCATATGAGCAGGAGAGAAGGAATCCAGAAGAGACGGTTTAGCACTGAGAAAGAAAAATGCTATGACATAGGGCAACTCTTGCCATCTGCCTGAGCGCTGACAGTAATTAGATAACTCCCGTAAGATATCGGGATCTAAGGAGCTGCTCGGCGGCCATTTTTTGTTGTTTTCTAAAGCATACTTTGGCCATTTTTTAGAACATAGATGAGTTATCTTAGGAATCTTTATGTAAGGCATTAAACTAAGAGGTTTTAAAGCTTCAACAAGACAGCCTAACGGAGAGGAAGGACTAACAGGGTTGGAAGCCTTGTTTCCCATGTCTGCAGCGGAGAGGCAGAAAAATAAAAAAGATAAAAAAACAAACTTGATCCGGAGCCAAGGCCCCAGGCGTCCCCAAGGCCAAGGACGGATCCCGGGCACAAGCCGCTCCTTGGCTCGTCAGCCACAGAAGCGGGGGCCCCTGCCACGTGAGGAAAGGATTCCCCGGGAATCCAGACAGCGTCTGCCGCTTCATCAAGTCGGATGAACGTGTCGGCCCCACGTGGCCCCCAGGACGCACCCAACGGTGGTGGTCCCAACGCGAGAAATATCTCAGGCTGCAGACGTGGGAGAGGGCTAGAAATCTGAGGCCTGCAATAGGGGCCGACCGTAGCCAATGAAGACCGTGGTCGGGGGTTCCCCCGGTCTCAAGAATACTTGTGAGGTACCGGTTGTTCTCACAGATTCAGGAAACCGTTTACACTGGCCGAAAAATGGGGGGGACTCACCAATCGGAGAAAGCGGTGTTGCATGGAATTTCTGCGGTCAGGCAAAATGGAGAGCGGTCTGTCGCGTACGGAGCAGAGTGTTGCAGTCCCCGGTTACGGGTTTCCAGGCGCAGGGTGCCCGGAAGCGCCCACTTGGTTTCGGCACCAAAATGTTAGTTTTTCGAGACAGGGTTTCTCTGTGTAGCTTTGCGCCTTTCCTGGAACTCACTTGGTAGCCCAGGCTGGCCTCGAACTCACAGAGATCCGAGTCACGGCACCAAAATGTTAGTTTTTCGGCTGCGTTGTGTTCTTACCCTGCAAGGAAATGCCACGAAACACGACAGAATCCGCTAACAAGAGTTTTATTAAAGGGACAGAGAGTGAACAGGCCTGCGGGAAACACGTGTGTGGAGAAGAAGGAGGAAGAAGAAGAAGGAACCGGGAACATGGCGCCGGATTTTAAAGGCTGGGCGTGGACAGATCAGCGTCACTACTACACGCAAGCGCGTAGATCACATGGCCACGTTGCGCGCCTACGTAGCCAATGGAACGTCACGGATCTTGGTCACGCAAGATGCCCTGACCCGGAAATGGCTATCCTGACCTGGAACTGGCTAGGTGGAAGTGTCTGTTGGGCATATCCGAACACGCCCGACCGTGGGGGCGTGTTGTAAACCTTTCAGCAACTATTCAGAAAGAATTTCATTCTTTGGTTAGTTGGCTATTTGTTTTTGAAACATAGGCTCACTTAGCCCTAGCGAACCTTAACTTAAGGTGTAGCTGAGGATAACCCTGAGTTCCTCATCCTCTCACCTCTGCCTCCCAAAGGCTGGGAGTCTAGTTGTGTGTATCCACTCTCAGCAAGATTTAGTTCATTTTGGACAATATTTTTCTATTACGTAGCTCTAGCCGCCCTGAACTCACTATACAGACTGGGCTGACCTAGAACTCACAGAGATCCTCCTGCCTCTGCCTCCTGAGTGCTGGGATTCAAGTCAAGCACCACCACACCTAACCAAGATTGAATTCTTTATGGAAAAATAAATATCATGTCTATCTCATTAGTATGCAAATTTTCCTTCCTCTGTAATAAAGATTATAAAATGATACGTATGCCAAGGAATTATTTTAAAATTAGTATCTCTGTCATTCATTACCATTAAATGATTGATTTGTATGCCTAGTATGTAGGGATCAATGGAAAACATTTAAGCAATCCTGATTTGGGTGAGTTACTTGACTGCCAACTGATTCTGGCACATTTGTTCATTTAATAATGCACATGGAGGCCCTACAGCATGTGGGCACTGAGCCAACCCCGAGCTTATACAGGTGGGCAGGGGGCCATGCGTCAGATGTGGAGTAACACCAGTAGTCCCAGTACTCAGAGGCAGTTGCCAATGAATGAGAGTAAGAACATTTGGCTCAACAGAAACTACAAACATAAATTGTCTCACCTCTACTGGTTGATGTGGAGGGGCCCCAAAACAGCTTGACCACACAGCAGCCATGACAGGCTTAGGAGCCTAGACACAGCTTCTGTGAAAGGCTTATTGGCAGGCAACACCCAGCCACCCAGGGATCCACCCAGGGATGAGGAAGTACCTAACATCCCAAACATTGCAAACCATTAGATAAGATGGCCAGATGTCCTTGAGTCTAGCACATACCTATATCTGTTTTACAGATACCCCTAGATACTTGTCAGCCAATCAGGGTCCTGGACCCTGGAAATCTCCTCACCCCAACTTCTGCTATGGTAAAAATCCCACCCTGCCTGGGCTCAGGGTTCTCTGCTCTCACTGCTGCGTCGGACAGACCGAGAGACCAAGCTCAGAGCTTGAAATAAAGGCTCTTGGCTTTTACATGTGGGATTCGGTCTCCATGGTGGTCTTTTGGGGGTCCCTGTGATCTGGGCATAACAGTTGACACCATTCATTTAGTTCAATGGTGCCAAACGTAGAAATATGCTAGAATCACCTGGACTGTGTTTTGATTAACGTTTCCCAAAGGTGCATATGTGAAGGCTTGGTCCACAAGGTGGGAGGTACTGGGAAGTGCTTGTGGCCTTTTGAGAGATGGGGCCTTGTTGAAGGTTCTTAGATCACTGGGAGCCATACATTCAAAAGTGCATGCTCTCTCTCTCTCTCTCTCTCTCTCTCTCTCTCTCTCTCTCTCCCCCCCATATATATATATATATATATATATATATATATATATATATATACACACACACATATATACATATATACATATATATATTCTCTCTGCTTCTTTCTCTCCCTCTCTCCAAACTCACACTACCACCAGCAGTTCCCTAATCTTACACTTGGGTCTCCAGAGCTATAGGTCAACATAAACCTCTTCTTACTTCATAAGTAGCCGGTGTCAGTTATTAAGTGATACAAAGCTGACTGTTCCATGGACCAACTGTCCAAATGTTAGGGGAAAATATAGTGTTTCATGTTTATATTAGCCAACCAGTAAGCAGTGATGATTTTTTTTTCTTATGAAAGAAAGCATTTCACTGGGGGCTGGCTTACAGTTTCAGGGGGTCAGTCCATTGTCATCATGGCGGGGTACATGGCGGCACACGGCCAGGCCCGGTGCTGGAGAAGTACTTTATCCTGATCAAGCAGCGATGATTAAACAGGCTCTGCCCTCTGGCCTCACTGGGGCAGAACCACTGGTTTACACACTAAGTTCCAGGCCAGCCAGGGATGTACATGAGGTGAAACACACAGTGAGACCCTCTCTTAAAAGCACAAAAATTTAACAAATTAGAAACTTTGCCTGGGCTACAGAATGAGTTCAAAATAAGTCTGAGTAAAATCCTATCTACAAAAAATGGAAGCAGGGGGTGGGGTGCTAAGGGTGAGGGATGCTTAGCATGGGAGATACCAAAGCTTCAATCCCTTGTTCAAGAAACAAAAAGTAAGAAGAACTCCACCCCCACCCTACGGGCAGGGTGTCCCAGACCTGTACTCCTAGCTTGGGAGTGGAAGAGCATGGTCTGGAGTTCAAGATCACCCTGAACAAGCTTTGTAACAAACATCTAACAAACAAACCACCATCCAACAACAAAAAGAACTCCACCCCTTGGCAATAGAATCAATAGGACAGGGGAAATGTCCTTGAGAAGAAATCCCATGAAGAAGTCTGTTCAACTTGGCAGACAGTGGACTACTCTCTGATGGGACAGAGGGCAAAGTCTCACCCCTATCCCTTCTATTTGACTGTTTGACTTAGGAAGTTTGCTTAACCTTCCCAACCTTAGCTTCTTTACCTAGAAAAAGCAGACAAATGTTCTCACCTCCCTCTCCCCAGGAGTGGCAGGGTATGCAACAACTCAGAGCCATCGTGAGTTCCAGGCCAGCCTTAGCTACATAGCAAAACCCTGTCCTGAAAAACAAACAAACAAAACAGCAATCTGGAGGTGGCACCAATAGGATCACTGTCAAGTCAAAGCCAGCTTGGGCTACTTGAATGAGTTCCCGGCCAGCCTGTGCTACAGAGTGAACAGAAGAGTCACATTAACATCTAATGTTCACTGAGTGCTACCCACATGATAAGGTCAGAGTTAACTCCTTTGCAATCCAACACACAATCCAATCCAAGTGCGGTCCCGTCTCTGTTTTACAGGTCACGAAAGGGATACACAATCACTGGATTGTCAATGATTACACCGTAAGTCAAGACAGGATTCAAGCCAAGCAGAATGGCTCCAATTTCCTACTCTCATCCCCTAGGGACCTTATTTGCCTTGTCATCCCATGGCCCCGGTCATTGATGAGGCTGACACATGGTTGCCAAAAATAACTTGGATGAATGAATCAAAACCTTTTCAGGGAAGGATGTAGGTCATTACTTGTCTAGCATGCTCAAGACTCCAGAACAGGGCTGGCCAGGTGGCTCATTGGGTAAAGGTGCTCACCACCAAACCTGACCAGCTGACTTCGATCCCCAAGTCCCACATGGTAGAAGAAGAGAACTGATATCCTAAACTTGTCCTCTGACCTCCACATCACTACAGAGGCATACACACCTTTCCCCCTCCCCTCAAATGAGTAAATAATAAGAAAAAGAATTTTGAACTAAGTGTGATGGTACATGCACTCAGGAGACAGAGGCAGGAAGATGTCTGTGAGGTCGAGGCCAGCCTGGTTAACATAGTGAGTCCGAGGACAATGAGAGATGTGGTGGTATTGTGTTCCCCAAAATATTGTGTACCCTAATAAACTTATCTGGGGTCAGAGAACAGAAAAGCCACTAGATACTTAGGATAGACAGTGGTAGCACACACCTTTAATCCCAGCATTCCAGAGGCAGAAATCTATCTGTTCAAGGATACAGCCAAGCATGGTGACTCACGCCTTTAATCCCAGAAAGCAGCCTTTAATCCCAGGGAGTGAGGGTAGAAAGCAGAAAGGTATATAAGGCATGAGGACCAGAAACTAGCATCATTTGACTGGTTAAGCATTTGACTGGTTAAGCTTTCAGGCTTTCAAGCAGCAGTTCAGCTGAGACCCATTCAGATATGAGAACACAGAGGCTTCCAGTCTGAGGAAACAAGATCAGCTGAGAAGTTGGCCAGGTGAGGTTAGCTGTGGCTTGTTCTGGTTCTCTGATCTTCCAGTTCACCCCAATACCTGGCTCAGGTTTGATTTTATTAATAAGAACTTTTAAGATTCCTGCTACAGAGAGACTATCTCAAAAATCCAAAATTAAATTCCTAGTCAGAAAAAAAAATGTGCCAAGGACAGTGATCTATAAGCAATCTTCAGGTAAACCGTCCTGGGGTTATTTATTCCTTGTATCCTCTTGGATGTAGCCACCCTCTTCAGATTGAAGTTTTCCTTCTAGTGCCTTTTGTAGAGTTAATAGATATAAATTCCTTAAACGTGTTTTTATCATGAAAAGTTTTTCTTTCTCCTTCAATTAAGGTTGGTAGTTTTGCTGGGTATAGTAGTCTGGGCTGGCTGTATGTCATCTTTCAGAGCTTGTAGAATGCATGTTCAGATTCTTCTGGCTTTCAGACTCTCCACTGAAAAGTCAGGTGTTATTCTAATGACCTGTCTATTTATGTGACTTCATTTTTGGTCCTAGCTTTTAGTATCCTTTGTTCTGTACATGTATGTGTCCAAGGGAGTTTCTTTCCTGGTCTTGTCAATTTGGTGTTCTGTATTCCTCTTGCACCTTGATAGGAATCTCTTTCCTTAGATTTGGGGAATTTCATTCTATGATTTTGTTAAACATATTTTCTATGGCTTGACCTGGGTTTCTTCTCCTTCCTCTGGACCTATTATTCACAGGTTTGGTCTCTTCATAGTGTCCCAGATTTCATAAATGGTTCTTTTGCCCAGATTTTTTATTTAGATTTAACATATTCTTTGACTGATTGATTCATTTCTTCTACTTGGCCTTCAAGACCTGATATTTTCTCTTTGACTTCATTCAGTCTGTTGGCAAGGCTTGTCTCTGAGCTTTTCATGTGGCTTCCTGCTTTTTTCATTTCAAGTTTTACTTCAGTTTGATTTTTTGTTTGTTTGTTTGTTTGTTTTTCGAGACTGGGTTTCTCTGTGTAGTTTTGCGCCTTGCCTGGAACTTGCTTTGTAGACCAAGCTGGCCTAGAACTCACAGAGATCCGCCTGCCTCTGCCTCCTGAATGCTGGGATCAAAGGCATGTGCCACCACCGCCCGGCACAGTTTGACTTTCCTTTAGCCATTCTATCCCTCTGTTAAATTCTATTTTCATATCTTGAATTGTATTCATTATTTCCTTCAATTGTTTGTGTTTTCATGGTCTTCATTCAAGCATTTTTTCATAGCCTTTTGAAGGCCATTGAACATATTCATAATTGCTCTTTTGAAGTCCTTATCTTGTGTGGCAGCTAAACTGATCTCTCGGGGAATATTATAATAGGTGCTGGTTTCTGGAGGAGGCACATTGTCTTCGTTGTTCATGTTTGTGTTTTTGAGCTGGGATCTTGGCATGGAGAGCTGGTATTGACTTTGTTGAGTAGGTCTTTGTTTGCTGTTACCCCAGTCTGTCAGGTTGTGGATCAGTTGAATGATGCTTGGCCTTCGGTCTTGGGGCCACTCTGGGT